TTCCTTCCTTCCTTCCTTCCTTCCTTCCTTCTTTCTTTCTTCTTTCTTTCTTTCTTTCTTTCTTTCTTTCGTTCTTTCTTGAACTGAGATTTGAACTCAGGGACTTGAACTTTTGCCCCAGGCTGGACTGGAGACTATGATTCTCTTTCCCCTACCGCCCATGCAGTTGGTATTACAGGCAGGCACCCGGGGCTAGACCCTCCTCCCCGAATGATTGGCCTTCTCCACCGTCTCTCCACTCTGCCCTGAGAACACCTGTGAGTATTTCCTTTAGCTCGGATGATCTCAGCCTCCAGAGTAGCTGGGATTACAGGCGTGAGCCACCGGCCCTGGGCTGCTATCTACTTTGATTCAAGATCTTGGTCCTCCTTGGGTGTGTTAAAGGTGACATTTGCCCACCTCTGATGGCTCATCTGATGAATCTGGAAGCAAGCAGCTGTCCTCTGGCCGGCTGTTCATTCTAGAGCGGTTGGCCGGGCACCTGATCTGTGTGCTGCGGTGCTGGGCGGCAGTGGGGGAGCGCGCACATGCGTGTGTGTGTGTGTGTGTGTGTGTGTGTGTTTCCAAGCTGGAAGGCACGGGAGTGTGGTGCTGCTTACACAAAACCCCGCACAGAACGGGGGAAAAGGCCACGTCCCTGTCTTTACCTATCCACGCTTCACAACCCCAGCGTCCCGAGGTAGAAAGCTCGGGAAAGAACTAGAAAAGCAAGAGGAAAACAAAAGATCCCAGGCGGAGTTTCCATGTGGCTTTGATTCCGGCTCCCACTCTTGAGTCAAGAGTAGGGAAGATGGGGGCTGGAGGCCTGGTCCAGTTGGTAGAGCACCAGCCAGTGGGCGAAAGCATTGGTACTGAGTTCGAGTCCCACCCTTGGACCAAAGTTTACAAAAAGAAAAGCTGGGCACCAGTGGCTCATGCCTGTCATCCCAGCTACTCAGGAGGCTGAGAGCTGAGGATCACGGTTCAAAGCCAGCCCAGGGCAGGAAAATCCATGAGACTCTTATCTCCAATAAAACTACTCAGAAAAAGCCGGAAGTCGTGCTGTGGCTCAAGTGGTAGAGCATTAGCTCTGAGCACAAAGAGGCTCGGAGACAGTGCCCAGGCCCTGAGTTCAAGCCCCAGGACCGGCAAACAATCGGGGCCCTTTTGATATCACACATACCCTGATTATATTTTTCTAGGAACTCTTATGCCTGGTGCCTGTGCGGCCCGACTGACCCCGCTGCGTGGGCCAGGAGCCCTGGCAGCCCTGGGACGGCGTTTCCCGGCAACCCACCGCCCAGACTTCCCCGAACTAGACTACAGGAAGCAGCCGCTAAGCCAGGTGTCTGGGGCCTGGGGAACGTGGCCCAGGGAGGGAAAGAAAGGGAGAAGACAATCACCCCCTCCCCTCACACCGCAGGGGGGTGCTGTGATTCACACACACACACACACACACACACACACACACATGCTACAATGTGCTATGCTTCTGGAAACACACCCAATGATAAACAAATACATTCTGGAAACCACATTGGAACAGGAAATCTGCCGGTCGGGGGCGAGAAATTATTATGTATAATATGCTGGAAAGAAAATCTGACCCTGGGAACCGAGAGTTGGGAACATTATTATATTTCCCCTACTATGTATGTATATATTTATATTTGAGTGTTTGGAAAGAATTTCTACTTAAGAGTTCATTTTATTTGTGTCTCTGAGGAAAGAGGCAGCAGGGGAAAAAAAAAAAGCTAGGGAAGGCTGTTAAAAGCTGTATTTGTGGAATGTTATCATCCTCCAAACATAACACAGACTGACTCCCATTAACAACAACAACAACAACAACAAAATGGGGCCGGCCCAGGGTAGTCAAATGAGGTCAAGAATGACATTGTTCGGGCTCAGTGGTAGAGTGCTGGTCTAGTGTGCACGAAGCCCTGGGTTCGATTCCTCAGTACCACAACAGACACAGAAAAAAAAGCCAGGAGTGGCCCTGTGGCTCAAGAGGTAGAGCATCAGCCTGGAGCAAAAGATGCTCAGGGACAGCATCCAGGCCCTGGGTTTACACCCCAGGACTGGCAATAAAACAAACCCCACAAAGATGTCAGAGATGGGAGAGGGGCAGTTCAGTGGAAGATCACAGCTAATCACAGGGGCCTAGCTTCAAGGAGGCTTAAGATCCTGGGTGTGAAGGAGACCAAAAGAGAAATGGCCCAGGAAGAAGACACCAAGAGGGACACTGGGGTGGGAAGAATGCCTTCTCCACGAGCCAAAAACTCTCCCTACCCTCTCGAAGTCTTCCCTCCAATACTCCACTGTCCCCTCCAAAACTCCAGCCAACCACAGAACCAGCAACCCTGAATTCTGCACCTGCCACCTCTGTGTTAAGACTCTCCGGTTTCTAGATTTCACTCCCCTTTCCCCTAATTTTGGTATCTAGTATTTGTCAATCATCTACTAGACGCCATCACATGGATCCTCGATCCGCCTTTTACTTTGTTCTGCAATCGGTAGCTCGCATTATAGTGCATTATAGCCTCCCACCTCTGGAAGTGGTCTTGAACTCACGATCTTCCCGACAGCTGGGATTACAGGCGAGAACCGCCATGCCCTGCCTTTTCGTTAATTTCTGTGGCTGCCTCTCTACCAAGGACCTTCAGTGCCGTTCACCTACGTTTGTATTTTATTTACTTTATTTGGCCTGTCACACCGAGCTCTTGCTTGCTGGGTAATTGGCTATCCTCATGGTTTCCAGAATCATCTGGTAAGTTCCCATTCCCGTTCCCACAACTCTCCTAATCTAAAGGCTTGGTGGGGGAGGGGAGAGGAAGGAGGTGGGACTTTCCAATGCCAATCAAACAAAACCCTAGCCCGGTTTGGGCTTCTAATGTCTCCCACACATGTCTCTCGTCAAGTCCGCCCATCTCAGATCTCCTTGGCTGCCAGTACATTTTTCTCGGTGCTAGCCAAATTGGCCAGTTCACCAATTCCTCACTAAACTCCTTTCAAAACAAAACAATCTCCCCGGAGCTGTGGATTTTCCTTTACAATGTCCAAATGTTCTCTCTCACCGACAGCCTGGCTCCGTGGCCTCCTCCATCCACATTTTTTTCTTTTCCCTCCTCTGTCTCTGGAATCGCCACCTTATAACCCGTAGGAAAGCTGTCCATGTGGTACATACTTAGATTTTAAGATCTAGCAGTGCTCAGAACACGTTCTGTGGGCTTTTATTTCCACTGTCTGGCAAAGGAAGTATCTAGCCAGTGTCGGCTCCCCAAACCATAAAATCGTGGAGCTCAAAATGCCCCTGGAGAGGAGGCGCTCCAACCCTTGTATTTTACAGGTGAAAGGGTTGACGGTGTTGAGTGTTAAGTACCTTTTGAGTCTCCCCAGGTGCTCAGCCTTATGACTGACCACCCGGGCCCCTGTTCCCCCCCTTCTTCATCGCACCTGTCCTGGGCAAGACAGGGTTGAGTCACCTCGCTGGTCAGCCATGTCCCTGGACTTGAACTTGGAGCCCACCCAGCCGCAGATGCCAAACACCTGGCGTCCTTCCCAGCCCCAGAGGCCTGGGGCTCTGCCAGGCCCCGGGGCCATGCTGGGAAAGGCCGCCAGGCCCGTCCACGCCACTCACCAGGCGGAAGAGGGAGATGGTGCTGCCGGTGATGTTGTAATGGCTCAGGACCTCGGAGCGGTTGGTGATGCCAAAGGGCACGTCCTGGAACTCCAGGGCCACACGGTGGAACACCGCCACGGCTGGCATCTCCAAGTCCTGAGGGAAACAAACAAACGCACAGGAGGAGCAACGAGCAAGCGCCAGAGGCTACGTTGGTGGGGACAGGAGCTGACAGGAGAGTGGAGATGGGGTCTCTGTCAGCAGAGTCAGGGGCGTGGGCCTGGTGCACGGCCAGCTCCGTGGGCAGTTGGATCGCCGGGCCGGGGGAATCCACGGGTCACCAGGCCAGGGGTCAGGAGCCCATGGGTGGTGGGGAAATCTCAGGGCGGTGTGTGTCCTGACCTGAAAGCATGGACTGGTGGAGGGATCCACTGGAGCAGAGATGTTTTGGGGGACACTTTGTGGAGGGGAGAAGAAGAGAGGCCCCCCCAAATGCAAGAAACAGATGGGGAAATGATCATCATTAATAATGATCATTAGCAAGTATGTTTTAAAGGGAGAATGAAAGCCCTAACCGCGTGGAGGGGAAGCAGGCCGGCGGCCGGAGGCTTGAAAACAATATGGCAGGTGGGACCACTCAATAAGATGAATGTGTCCTTCACAGCCCTGGGCGAGGGCAAGGGCCCCAGACCCCCACCCATCACGAGCCCCTTCCAGACTTGGGGGTGGAGATGGGGATCCAATCACAGGGAACACACCAAGGTCAGGGAACCCATCAGAAGAGCCCCAGCAGACCATGTCCACCCCTCAGCCAATCAGCTCCAAGGTCAGGGAGCCAATCAGAAAACTCCCTGCGGAGCGTGTTCACCCCTCCGCCAATTGGACCAGGAGTAAATCCTAGATACTAGGGGGGAGAGAGAGAGGAGAACTAAAGAGAGAGACAGAGAGAGACAGAGAGACAGAGGGAGACAGAGAACCAGACAGAGAGAGAGGAGAGAGGGAGGAGGGAAGGGGGGAGGGAAGGGGGAGGGAGGGGAAGGGAGGGAGGGGGAGCTGGTCCTCTCCCACATCCCCGGCTGCCCTTGTGGCTGTCTGTTCTCGATGAAGCTTCCTTCCTCTCCTGAGCCGGGTCCAGGGTGGCTGGGCCTCGACTTCCAGACCTCCTGGGTGGAGGCCTCGAGGATCCACAGAGCCCTGGGCCCCGCCCCGCTGGGGTGGGGGGGGCTGGGGCTGGGTGGGATTTCCTCCACCCTTCTAGAACCTTCTCCGGCAGCCACATCGGGTGGTCGTGGATGGATTGATCGAACCCTTCCTGCATCTGCCTCTCGCTGGGAGGGGCCCAGGGACCCGGCCAGGTGTTGAATGGATTGCAGCTGTCTAGTGGCTGTGTGTGTGTGTGTGTGCACACGTGTGCGTGTGCGTGTGTACCACCTGCCCTGGGGCTTGAGCTCAGCCTCTGGCGCCGTCCCTGAGTCTTTTCACCCCTTGCTGGAGGCTCTACCACCTGAGCCCCAGCCCCACCTCCGGGCCTTTTGGTGGGTCTGTGGAGATACAAGCCCGTCCAGGCTGGTTTCGAACCCTGATCCTCGGATCTCAGCCTCCTGAGCGGATGGGGTGACCGGCGTGCGCCCCGTTGCCCCCGGCTGGGCTGGACGTGGCTTGGGTGAGGCCCTCTCTTTTCTAATCCTTGCAAACTGGGACTCACTGCTGGCCTCTGCTGGCCAGTGATGTGCGCGCACGCCCAGCCCGGCCTGGCCCAGACCCCCCCACCCCAGCTCTGTGCACAGAACCCCCAGGGTGGAATGGAGACCTACAAGAAGGCCTCAGTGGACGGAGGGAGAGCTAGCGGCTTCCCCCTGTCATCCCAGCCTCTCAGGAGGCTGAGATCTGGAGGATCACGGTTCAAAGCCAGCCCAGGACAGGAAAGTCCATGAGACTCTGATCTCCCATGAACCACCAGAAAATAGCAGAAGTGGCGCTGTGGCTCACGTGGTAGAGCACCAGCCTGGAGTGAAAGAGCTCAGGGACAGCGCCCAGGCCCTGAGTTCGAGCCCCGCGACCAACCAAACAAAACAAATCAGGAGAAAATTGCTCCTCAGATGGCGGAGGCCAGGCCGGCCCTGGAGCGGACACCCGGGGTGCGAGGGGGCGTAGAGTCTTGGGGCGCACAGGACGTCTCTCTTCCTGTGGATCCTGACCCGGCCACACAGCCCAGAGCTCCCCAAGCAAGCATGTGCGAGAAAGATGGCACTGCAGAGATGGAATGTTCCAGAAAGTCACAGGCCTTCATGGACGCCGGCCGTCTCCGTCCCATGGCCTGTCACCGTCACTGCCAGGGTTGGCATAGGAGCCGTGTGCCTGGGGGGGGGCAGGGGGAGGACGGGGGGGAGGACAGGGAGGATGGGGGGGAGGACAGAGAGGAGGGGGAAGGACAGGGGGAGGGGGGAGAATGGGGGAAGGATCGCGGGGCGGGGGAGGGGGACCAACCTGGAAAAAGCCTATGAGTGTCACCTCAGCCCCCGCGACAAAGTCCACGGCCGCCGGGACGTCCATCAGCCACACAGGACCCCGTGAGACACTCGGTTCATCTAGAGAGAGAGCAAGACCACAGAAAACAAGTGAGACAGACAGACAGACAGAGACAGAGAGACAGAGACAGACAGACAGAGACAGACAGACAGAGACAGAGACAGAGAGCAGACAGAGACAGAGACAGCGAGAGAGACAGAGACAAAGACAGAAAGACAGAGACAGAGAGAGACAGAGAAAGACAAGATAGAGAGACAGAGGCAGAGAGACAGAGACAGAGAGAAAGAGACAGAGACAGACAGACAGAGACAGAGAGACAGAGACAGAGAGACAGAGACAGAAAGACAAGATAGACAGAGAGACAGAGGCAGAGAGACAGACAGAGACAGAGAGACAGAGACAGAGACAGACAGACAGACAGACAGAGACAGACAGAGACAGAGAGACAAAGACAGAAAGACAGAGACAGAGAGACACAGAGAGACAGGGACAGAGACAGAGAGAGAGACAGAGAAAGAGACAGAGAGACAGAGACAGAAAGACAAGATAGAGAGACAGAGACAGAGGCAGAGAGACAGAGACAGAGAGACAGACAGAGAGAGACAGAGACAGAGAGACAGAGGGACAGAGAGACAGAGATAAAGGAGAGAGACAGAGCGAGACAGAGAGAGATCATCAGAGAGAGAGGGGGAGACAGATAGGGAGAGAGAATACTCCAGAAAAAGAGACAGAAAGCAAATGTAGATTTTGGGGTGCTGAGCATCTGGCACCCCATGTCACTGTTTCTAGGAACGCAGTGACCACCTAAGACTTTATGTACTTTTATTGCTATTATTATCACTATTGTCATCGTTATCATTGTCACTAACGTCGTGAGCCATCGGGCTGTCTGTCCCCCAGACAACACACGGTTAGATCCCCCCCATCTCTGCTTGGTGACACCCAGCACCACCCAGAACATTCTAGGCTTGGGTGAGGAACACCCAGAGAACAGCTGAGCCCCTCCATAGCTCACACCCCGCTTCTGTTCAATTCCGGGGCTCCCCCCCATCCCCAGGGGAAGGAGCAAGACCTTTTACCTGGGGGTTCTTGCACTTCTGTGGGGAGCCCAGGGCGGGGGCCGCAGGTGAGGAGGAGGAGGAGGGGGAGCACACATCCGGGGCTCGCGGGTTCCATGCTCCGGCCCTGGGTTTGGGGTTCTGGGGTGCAGGATCCCGGCCGAGCTGCCGGCTGGTAATCCCGAGGCGGTGGTGTTTTTAAGTTCTGTGGGAAATCTCGCAGGTGGCCGCGTTGAGGCTCGGGGCCTCCCAAGGTAAACAGCCCGGAAGAAAAGCAGAGGGCTGGGTGCTGGATGCCGGGTGATGACTGAGGTGCTGGGACCCAAAGGCTCCGTCATGATCGGAACCAGAACTCGCAGCGGGGACAAAGAAAGAGGGAAGGCCAGGAAAGCTTGCAGGGCGGGCGGGAGCTGGCGGCTCCTGCCTTTAATCCCGGCTCCCCCAGCAGCCATGGTCGGAAGTGAATCCACTGGAAAGGAGTATGGCCGGTGGAGGGAGGCTGGTGGAGGGAGGCTGAGGGAGGGAGGCCGGGGGAGGGAGGCCGGGGGGAGGGAGGCCGGGGAGGCTGGCAGGGGGAGGCCGGGGGAGGGAGGCCAGTGGAGGGAGGCTGGTGGGGGGGAGGCCGGGGAGGCTGGCTTTGGCCCACCCACCCAATGAATCCAAGGTGAGATGGCTGTGGGCACTGAGGTCTCAAGCTTAGGAGAAACTTCCAGAAGAAAAGAGCAGGACGGAGGGTGGACAACACCGACACATGGTGAACCTGACAAGGCATGTTGTATGTATATGTGCACATATGCACATGCATGTATAGGTGTACATACATGTGCGTGTGGGTATGGACACGTGTGTATGTGGACACGTGTGCATGCACGGACATGTGTGTATGTATGGACATATGTGGACATGCGTATATATATGTGTATATGTACATGTGTGCATATATGTACATGTGCGTGCATGGACATGTGTGTGTGCATGGACATGTGTGTATATATGTGAATGTGTGTGCATGGACATGTGTATAAATGGACTGTGTATGCATGGACATGTGTGTATATGTGCATTGTGTGTGCATGGACGTGTGTATGTGGACATGTGTTTATGCATGGACATGTATGAGGACATGTGTGTATGTAGACATGTGTGTATGCATGGACATGTGTGTACATATGGGCACGTGTGTATATATGGACGTCAAAATGAAAATCCCCCCCAACATAAACTATATGATGCCAACAATAAAAATGCGGAGGGAAAGGATGAGGCTCCAAGGAGAGTTGGAGTACTGCGCAGGCGTCACAAAGGAAAACTGCAGCAGATCTTTTCACCCCGTACACTGTGTTCTGACACTTGCTGCCCAGGGCCGGATTAGCCTGCTGACCAAGTCCGCCCTCGGTGCTGTGTCTTGCGCCCCCTTCCTTTCTTCCCTCTTTCCCCCCCCAGCGTCTCCAGAAGATGCCCAGAGGGGAAACTGTTGGCGCCATATTGGTTGGAAACAAGGAAAAGAGGCTCTCGGTCGGGTGTGGACACAGGCGGCTGCTGCTTTATTCTCTCTCCCTTGTCGGGTGTTTACAATGTCTCCCACAACAAAGAAGCAGCGTCTCAATACTGGGGATGGGGGTGGGGGGGAGGGCCCAGAAGTCAGGGAGCCAGAGACTCGCACCCAGGACTCGCAGGGTCGGGAGGGAGCCGGGGCACCGCGTGGGGGGGGACGGGGAGGGGACGAGGGCGGGCGGGCGGCCCCGGCGGCCCGTCCGTTCATTCGTTCCAGTCCTTCCTGATGGCCAGGCTCCACTCCCAGGTGAGGTGGTCCTGCCGGTCATCGTCGGTGAAGAAGGACTTGTTGTGGTAGGTGCCCCGCGCCAGCATGCCCTTGGGCGCCTCCTCCGGCGGGGTCAGGAACTCGTACTCCTCCAGCCGCGGCCCGTAGCTGCCCACCATGAACGTGGCTTTGTCCACTGCGGGGTGGGGGGGATGGGGGAGGAAAACCCATGAGGACCAGGCAGGGGGGGGGTCGAACTGGGAGGGGGAGAGCCAGGTGCTGTGGCTCACGCCTGTCATCCCAGCTACTCAGGAGGCTGAGATCGGAGGATCGTGGCTCGAGGCCAGCCAGGGCAGGAAAGTCCGTGAGACTCTGATCTCCCATGAACCGCCAGAAAACCAGAAGTGGAGCTGTGGCTCAAGTGGTAGAGCACCAGCCTTGAGTGAAAGAGCTCAGGGGACAGCGCCCAGGCCCCGAGTTCAAGCCCCAGGACCTGCACACGTGTGCGCGCGCGCACACACACACACACACACGCTGGGGTGGGGGCGATAATGTCTTCCTGTACCTTTCATGCCGGTGCGGTAGGTGTGCTGGACGTACTTCAGGCCCGACACGATGTCCTTGTTCACCTGTAAGTAGAGGGGATGCGTGCGTGTCAGATCAGAGTGAGTCCTTCCTCCTCTGCATGCATGCACACACACACGCACACGCACACACATGCACACACACGCATGCGCACGCATGGGCTCATCCCACAGACCCTGCCTGGCTCGTGCGTCCCTGCAGAGGGGGGCACGGATGGTTCAATCCCAGAGGCAGGACGCCTCTGATCTCATGGCTGCCTGCTCTGCTCTGCTCTGATCACCTTGCTCCTGGGGCTTCTACTGTGCAGGGTGGGGAGCCCTGGGGTTTGTGAGAGGGGGGGGGCTCCCCTTTGAGGGGCTGGGCAGGTGGCTCAGTGGTAGAGCGCTTGCCTTGCATGCCTGAGGCCCTGGGTTCAATTCCTCAGCACCACATAAGCAAAAAAAGAAAAAAGCTGGAAGTGGCACTGTGGCTCAAGTGGTAGAGCGCTAGCCTTGAGCTGAAGAGCTGAGGGACAGCGCCCAGGCCCAGAGTTCAAGCCCCAAGACAGACAGACAGACAGACAGAAAGAAAGGAAGGAAGGAAGAGAGAAGGAGGGAGGGAGGGGGGAAGGAAGGAGGGAAGGAAGGAGGGAAGGAAGGGAGGGAAGGGAGGAACGAACTTCCTTTGTACAACTAAGGTAATCAAAAATACATACATATATAAAATTTAAAAAATCAAAACGATAGTATAAGAAGAAGAAGAAGAAGAAAACAAGCACTACCCCTCCAGCATTCCAGCACCATCTCCATCTTCCCCGGCCTCCTCCTCCTCCCTCCGCGGCCCCCACCCGGCCCCCACCCTGACACTGTTTTCTGGAAAAGCTTATGCAAACCCCAACGGAAACTAGGATGGAAATAGATGGAAACCTCTCGATCCTTCTAGAAAGAAAACATCGCCACCAAAGTGACCCCCGGAGCCCGGGGAAAACCACCGGTGTGGAGGAGCGGGGTGTGGGACCGGCGCGTGGGAGGCCAGGCCGGGGAAAGGTCCCGCCGACTCCCTGCACGCTGGCCGTGACCCGCGTGTGTCAGGACTCTGTGGCGTGTCACACCCACCCGTGGCCGGAAAATGTCTCACTCCTTTGCCCAAGACTTTCAAAGAATCCCATGGAAGGTAAACACAGAGTAAACACAGCCCGGCCCGGCCACCGGCGTGTTCTGCCGTGACTCACGGGCCCAGAGTCCCCGGCCGTCTCCCACGCGGCTCCCGACCACGCAGACAAACTAAAGGGGACATCGAGTCACGGCCGGAGGGCCAGGCGAGGCGGAGCAATGAGACAGCTTCGGGTAACTGTGCCCGATGGCCACGACGCAGTGTGAAACACATCTGCTGCTCAGTTCTTCTGTCCCGTTGGTGGGGGGGGGGGGGCAGGCCAGGGAAGGTTCTAGGCTGTCACTTGGAATAAAAAGCAAGCAAAATCAGACAGCACAGATTTGGCTTCATGGGAGGAACTGGGACCAAAATGAAGCCCAGGGGCCGGGGAGGGGGCTCGGTGGTAGAGTGCTCGCCTAGCACACGTCAAGTCCCGGGTTCGAGTCCTCAGCACCACAGACACAAAAAAGCTGGAAGTGGCGCCGTGGCTCAAGTGGTAGAGCACCAGCCTGGAGCAAAAGAAGCTCAGGGAGAGCACCCAGGCCCCGAGTTCAAACCCCAGGAAAGAAACAAAGAATAGGAGTGGGCTGGGGACATGGCTCAGGGGGTAAGAGCCCCAGCCCGGCTACCCCGAGGCCTGAACTCCAGCCCAGGACTATCTCATGGAGACCTGGGAATGGCAGCCATGAGGAGCCCCATGTCTCCACGGCCTGCATCCTGGAGCACGGTCCAGGGAAGATTTGTTTAGTGGAGGGACAGGCTCCAGGAGAGGTTTGCATGGCTTTTCTAGAAGGATCTAGATGCTGCTAAGCATGGGGGCCTGGGAGGAGCTGAGCTGTATTGTAGGTCTGTGGGCTCCTGCAGAGCCGTGACCCCCTTCTACGACGTGATTCAGACCCCAGGGACCCAAACTTTGCAGTCTGCAGAAACTCCTTTTGCATCTTATTGACATCACAATTTACCTGCCAGGTCTCACCTGGTTAGATTTCCTTCCTTTCCTCCCTCCCTTCCTCTCTTTCTTTTGTTAGTCCTGGGTCTTGAACTCAGGGCCTGGGCGCTGTCCCTGAGCTCTTTTGCTCAAGGCTGGCGCTCTACTACTTGAGCCACAGCGCCACTTCCGGTTTTCTGGTGGTTCACTGGAGATCAGAGTCTCACAGACTTTCCTGCCTGGGCTGGCTTTGAACCGTGATCCTCCGATCTCAGCCTCCTGAGTAGCTGGGATGACAAGCGGGAGCCACTGGCCCCTGGCTTAGATTCACTGTCTAAGGGGTGACGCTGCGTTTGTAAACCGCAACTACTCAAAGAGTTTATATATAGATATAGAGAGTGTACATAGAGATAATATATATATATATATATATATATATATATATATATATATATACATGTATATATAGAGATGGGGGGAGATTCACGTTCGAGAAGGACCACACAGCACACAGGCCGAGGGCCTGGGTGGGCTTGCAGCGCACGCTGTGCAGCGTGGGTGTGCACACCGGCCTTGCCGCGCCAGGCCAGGTGTTCTAGTAATAAACAAGAGCGACAGGAAGCCCAGGCAGGGGCCGCTCAGGGCGGGAGGGAGGAGGGAGGATGGGCAGGGCCCGCTCCGTCTGTGTGTGTGTGTGGTGTGCAGAGAATGTCGGTGGGTCGTGAGTCACTTCCTGCTCCGGCAGGCTCGCGCTGCGATCTGGGGCTGAGAGACTGGAAGGCGGCGCGGGGGCGGGGAGGGGCGGCGGGGGAAGCTGCCAAGGCAAACATGGCTCCCGCCTCCCACTTGTGGGCTCTCTGGGCCACGGTCGGCTCCCGGGGCCCAGGCCCTGCTCCTCTCTCTCTTTAAACCCTGAACTCTTATTTATTTCTTTGTATTACCTTTAAGTAGCTGTAGAGAGGGGTTTCAACACAACACAACGATTTATAAGTACAAGAGCATCTTGATCCACACCCCCCCCCCCAAGTGAGCGGCCTTGTGCTCACCTGCCGACACAGAATATCACCAGTGCACTCACTTTGTCTACGCCCCCCAGGCCTGTTTATCATTTATCGGGGTATTTCTTTTATATATAATAATTATATAACATATTTCTATTAGTACACACCACATAGGAATGTGAGAGCGAGAAGTGAGCCCCAGTTATGATGGGGGGGGATGGGAAACTTGGGGGACCGCGGGGAGACACTCACTTTGAAGTTGATCTTCACGCGGTACTCGATGCCCTCCTTCATCACGAACACCTGCTTCTTCAGCTCCTGCAGGTCTCCTGTGGGGAGGAGCGAGGCTCCGTCAGCTCCTGGAAGCTTCCAGAAGGAGAGGAGGGACCGCCTGGGGCCAGGCCCCTCAAGAGTGTGTGAGGTCAGGACACGCACACACATGTAGAACACGCACACACACACACACCACAGTACCTCCCAGCCCCACAGCATTCCTGCCACGCTGAGATCCTACCGCACACTCATGCCAGAGTCTGCCCACGGCGTGAAAAACACCCGACCCTCATAGCGAGAGAGAAGAAGACGTTTCTCATCACCAATAACAGTGACTAAAAAAATAGCCTTCATCAACCCTCCAGTGTGGGCTGGACAAGATCAGGAAGAGTGAGGGCTGGGTTGGGGGTGGGAGGGCAGGCGTGGGGAGGGGAGGGGCGGGGGGGGAGGAGGGGCTGGGATCAAGATGTACTTTGTCCAGTGGCAGCTCCTTTGGACAACTACTTAAAGACAATCGTAACCGTAATCGCCGCCATCATCATCACAGAATCGTCCATGTTACCCTTCTATCCTGTCTGTTGGAAATCTGCGCACACACGGCAAGAATCTCAAAGGCCAGAAGGAAGTAGAGCCAGGCGTCAGGCAGGGATGGGCGGGCGCGTGAGGTTTTCAGCGCTGAGCTTTGTCTCCCTCCTGTGCATCATCTAAGTGAATCCTCCTTTGACATCTGGGGTCCTGGGTTCGAGCCTGGGCCTTGGCTCTGGGCAGGTGAGCCGAGCCTCAAGCCCTGATACTCGTGTCCGTACTTACTCCTGTATGGCGTGAATGCTCCAGTGCGCGTGTGTGCGCTTGTGTGTGTGCACGTGTGTGCGCATGTGTGAGTGTGTGTGCGCGTGCACACGCTCTGACGGTCTCGGCTGAGCAGGAGGCGTGCCTCCCGCGGCCCACACGTCCTCCCTCCGCACAGAGGGCCCCGGAGCGTCCTCCCTGCTGGCCTCAGGTTCGAGACCGGTGCTTGGCTTCTGCTTTGCCCCCGAGTCTCCTCTTCTCCCCCCCAAAACTGCTTTTCCTGCCCCGGTTGGTCTCGGGGTGCCTCGGCCCCGGCCACAGGAGGGGAAAGGGGGGTGCTCAGATGTGTGGGGAGGTGTCCGTGGGACCCCACACAGAGCTGGGTAAGCTTAGATCATTGGGGGGGCTTTTTGGTTTGGTTTTTTTGCTGTTGTTATTTGCCAGTCCTGGGGCTTGAACTCGGGGCGCGGGCGCCGTCCCTGAGCTCTTCCACTCAGGGCTGGTGCTCTGCCATGGGAGCCACAGCGCCACTTCCGGTTTTCTCCCCGCTCAGCTCCCCCCCCCCGCGCCCACTCACCCGTGAGGTCCATGGTGATGGGCCCCGGGGCGCTGTCACACACCAGGCTCAGCCGCGTCACCGTCACGTTGGGCACCGTGGGGTCTGCGGGACGCAGAGGGCGTGAGGACGGACAGACGCATGCCTGGGGTGTGTGTGCGCACGAGTGTGTGCGTGTGCACGCACGTGTGCATGTGTGCAAGTGCACGTGTGTACAGGTGCAGGTGTGCGGGTGTGTGCAAGTGCACGTGTGCATGCGTGCACGTGTGTGCAAGTGCACATGTATACAGGTGCAGGTTGCAGGTGTGCGCAAGTGCACGTGTGTACAGGTGCATGTGTGCGTGCGTGTGTGTGTGCAGGTGTGTGTGTGCAGTGTATATGCTGGTGTGTGCAGGTATGTGTGCAGGTGTGCATGTGTGCAGGTGTGTGTGTGCAAGTATGTGTGTGCAGGTGTGTGTGCAGGTGCATGTGTTCAGGTGTGTGTGCAGGTGTGTGTGCAGGTGCATGTGTGCAGGTGTATGTGCAGGTGTGTGCATGTGTGTGTGCAGGTGTGTGCATGTGTGCATGTGTGTGCATGTGTGTGCAGGTGTGTGTGCAGGTGCATGTGTGCAGGTATGTGCAGGTGCATGTGTGCAGGTGCATGTGTGCAGGTGTGTGTGCAGGTGCAGGTGTGTGTGCAGGTACAGGTGTGTGTGCAGGTGTGTGCAGGTGCAGGTGTGTGTGCAGGTATGTGCAGGTGTGTGTGCAGGTATGTGCAGGTGTGTGTGCAGGTGTGTGTGCAGGTGTGTGCAGGTGTGTGTGCAGGTGTGTGTGCAGGTATGTGCAGGTGTGTGTGCAGGTATGTGCAGGTGTGTGTGCAGGTGTGTGTGCAGGTGTGTGCAGGTGCAGGTGTGCAGGTGTGTGTGCAGGTGTGCAGGTGTGTGTGCAGGTGTGTGTGCAGGTGTGTGTGCAGGTGCAGGTATGTGTGCAGGTGTGTGTGCAGGTGTGTGTGCAGGTGCAGGTGTGTGTGCAGGTGTGTGTGCAGGTGTGCAGGTGTGTGTGCAGGTGCAGGTGTGCAGGTGTGTGTGCAGGTGTCCCCCTTCCTGCTCCCCCCTCCAGCCTCCACCCATCCTGCGGCTCATGCCTTTATTCCTGAGGTATCTCCCTGGACCCTCCCCGGCCGGCGGCGGGCTCGGGGCTGACCCCCAGCGGCGGGCTCGGGGGTGACGCTGCCCTCCCCGGCCGGCCCCCCGGCGGCGGGCTCACCCACCTGCCAGCACGGGCGCGTCGCCCAGCAGCGTCCGCTTGTACTTGGCCAGGCTCTCGTCGTCCTTGTCCAGCTCCTGCAGCTCCTGCAGCGACTTCTGCGGCGGGGGCTTGTAGTGCAGCCGGCTGTCCAGCTCATCGTCCGCGTCCTCCAGCGGCGGGCCCGCGTCCTTCTCCGTCATCACCGTCTGCGGGGGGGGGGGGTCACCTCCTGGGTCATGGCCACACCCAGCGGTCATCAGAGGCCTCCCTCCGGCTCCCCTGCCCCCTCCCGCTCCCCTGAAGTCCTGAGCCGGGCGCCGGCGCTCACGCCCGCCGTCCCAGCGACTCGGGAGGCTGAGCGCTGAGGATCGAGGTTCAAAGCCAGCCTGGGCAGGAAAGTCTGTGAGACTCTGATCTGCCAGGAACCACAGAAAAACGGAAGTGGCGCTGTGGCTCAGGTGGTAGAGCGCCAGCCTTGAGCTGAAGAGCTGAGGGACAGCGCCCAGGCCCTGAGTTCAAGACCCAGGACCGACCAAAAACAAAAGTGGACTCTGGACGCAGGAGAGGCGTCTCCCCTTCCTGCCTCGGTTGCCAGGTTTGCTCCCACCCAACACCGCAAAATCACATCTTCCATTCCTGGTTCTAGCAGGTTCTAGCCCCCTCTGGAACCCTCCCCCAGCACTGGGGGGAGTTCCGGCGCTTGCTCATCTCCCGCGGATGGGCTCATCGGGTTCTCTGTCCAGAGCTCTTCTCACCAGACAGCAGGGAGTCTTAAAATGAAGAGCACCTTTCTTTTCCTTTTTAATGCTCGGGTGCTCCGCCACTTGAGCCACAGCGCCACTTCCGGCTGTTGCTTTTGGTCGTTAACTGAAGACTCTAATGATGGGGGGGCGGGCCTCGAACCCCGATCCTCCAGCCTCAGCCTCCTGAGCAGGCAGGATGACCCCAGCGTGAGCCACCAGTGCCCGGCTGCCAGGTTGCTCTCCATTGTCTTCCTTCCTCGCCTCCTATGGAGTCCTTCTGCTGGGGAGCCCCCTCCCGCCCCCGGCTCCCGAGGGTTCGGAATACTCCAAGGCCCTACGTGGTTGGCCCTGGGGTATATTAGTAGTAGTATTAGTTTGTGTGAGACTGGGACCCAAACTCAATATCTGACTTTTTTTCTGCATCGCCTGGCGCGCTACCGCCTGAGCCACGCTTCCCACCCCCAGTATTATTTTTCACCATCACCTACATTTCCGTTTCTTGGGTTCAAACGGGGGAGGAAAATCTAGAAAAACTACCTAGAGTGTAGTTTATCACTGAAATCCATGGTGAAGGTAACACTCGCATGCATGCACACACACGTGCATGCACACACATGCACGCACACACATACACACACGCACACACGTGCACACACATATGTGCACATACAAACATATGCACACATGTGTGCACACACATACACACATGCATGCACGCACACACGCACATGCACGCACACACACACATACCACCTCCCCCTTCCTCGCAGGAGACAGATGAGGAGTTCAGAGAATGTCCCCTGGCTGGGAACTTCCTACCCCGGGCCGGCAGCAGCTGGGGTGGAGACAGCAGCTAGGGACGTGTTTGTGCAAGAGAGAGATCTCTCTTCTGGTCTTTTCTCTGCCCCAGGGCCCAACCTCCAGCCGTCCTCAGTGATTACCCAGGTAATATCCACCGCCGCCCTCCGCGGTTGCGCGGCTTCCTTGGGCGGGTGCTCTACCACTTGAGCCGCAGCGCCGCTTCTGGTTTTCTGGTGGTTCCTTGGAGAGCAGAGTCTCACAGACTTTCCTGCCCTGGGCTGGCCTCGAACCGCGATCCTCCAGATCTCAAGCCTCCCCGGGTGGCTGGGATGGCGGGCGTGTGCTGCCTGGCCCAGCTGTGGTTGTGGATTTCAATGTCACTGTCATCTCCCACGGGGGGAATTTAAAAAAAAGATGATGTCTGGAGCCCCATCCACAGACTTCACTGGGTCTGAAAACAGCCATCCCTCCTCCCCAACCCCAGGGAAACTGGGGGGGGGGGGAGGCTTGTTGCCTTGGTAACCGTCATCTCAGGCTTTGAGTCAGCAGTCACTCACCCAGGGCCCGAAAAACAGGGTGACTAAGCCCAGCTCAAGTTCCACAGGGCCCTCTGGGGAAACATGGGCAAACCTTCTGGAAAACAGACCTCAAGGGGCGGGCGCTGCGGGCAGAGGGGAGGGGGCTGCCCTGCGGAGGCCGCGGCCAGCCTGCTGCAGTGCTTCTCAAAGTGTCCCCACAGCCGGCCGGTCACCCCGGCCCCGCGGGGAGGCTGCGACCTGGAGGATGGCGGTGTGAGGCCAGCCCCGGCCCCTCGGGGAGGCTGCGACCTGGAGGATGGCGGTGTGAGGCCAGCCCC